CAAGACACCAGGTCTGGGACTTGAACCGTGGTTGGCCATGTGGGAGTGTCCAGCATGTTAAACACCATGCCATCTGCTGGTCCCCAAATACTTATTATTTTTTTTTTGTGGCATTCCTTTTAATTTTTAATAGACAAGATAGAGATTTCATAAGAACAATTTGTAAAAATGGACAGAATTCTCATTCCACAGTCTACAAAAAATTGAGTAGGTGCTGAAGAAAAGTGACTTTTTGTTTTTAAATTTAAAAATATGGAACGCTTCACGAATTTGCGTGTCATCCTTGCACAGGGGCCATGCTAATCTTCTCTGTATCGTTCCAATTTTAGTATATCTGCTGCTGAAGCGAGCACCCCAAACACTATTTTATGCAGGCAAAATAGAACCATGGAAATTTGGTTTACAAGCAAAAATTTAGGAGACTAAACCAAACTTGAAAATGAATGTATTTTTGGGACCAGCAGTTAGCTGGCTATATCGCTGGACTCCCACATAGTCGACCATGGTTCGCGTCCCAGACCCGTGGCTTAAACTCACGCCAGGCACGTGTGCGTGCATGCCCAAGATCCCAAGAGGAGAATGGAGGAGAAGGGATTGCGGTGTGGCCATCCCCCCGGGGGCGTGATTTCTCGCTTTCTATCTCTCTGTCTCTCTCTGTCTGTCTGGCGAGCGCATGCACCCTGTAGCAAAAACCTCTCCAAAAAAAAAGAAAAAAAAATTAATGTATTTTTAAATATTACACAACTTTTAGAAAAATTCTAATATTCTAATATTTATAACTAACAAACTTGAAATACTGTAAGAGTTAAATCTTAACAGCTTAAAATTATACAAGTGAGTTCCCACTCAAGTACATGAAAATTTTAAGAGAATCTATAATCTCATTACCTGGAGATTAACGGCATTACCATTTCCAGGTATTTTCAGTACACACACACACACACACACACACAGCTCCTGCTATACATGCTTATGGATTGTCAGAAAAGTCACGACACATATTTCCATAGAAAAATATAGAAAAATATGTCATGACTTTTCTGACAACCCAATAGCACTGGACAAATCATTTAAGAAAAAGATGTTTATCTACTAAAGTGAAAGATCTTGACTGGGGCCAGCAGGTGGCATAGCGGTTAAGGGCACTGGACTCCCACAAGGCCAACTGCAGTTCAAGTCCCAGACCTGACAGCTTGCTTCTTCACTTTTCCCCTCTCTCTCTCACTCTACCCCTCTCTGGTCAAATTAAAATAATAAATAAATAAATAACGATAAGTACAATAATTCTTTAAAAAAAAGAAAAGATCCTGACTCAAATAGTTTAAAATAAAAAAAAGTAACTAGAAATAACCTACATATTCAATAATAAGAAAAATACTATATTGTAGAAATGAAATATTATGAACTTACTAAAAATTAAATGTACAAAGTATTTTTAATGATACATGATAATGCTTTTAGTATTATAACGATAAGTAAAATAATTCTTTAAAAAAAAGAAAAGATCCTGACTCAAATAGTTTAAAATAAAAAAAAGTAACTAGAAATAACCTACATATTCAATAATAAGAAAAATACTATATTGTAGAAATGAAATATTATGAACTTACTAAAAATTAAATGTACAAAGTATTTTTAATGATACATGATAATGCTTTTAGTATTAGAAGTAAACAGCATGGATAAATACTTCTAACACATTATGAGCTCAACTATATAAAAAACATATATGGTATTATTTACAGATGGTCTAAATGTTAATAGTGCTGGGTAAATTACTTTTTTTTTTCGCTATAGGGCGCATGCACTCACCAGACAGAGAGAGACATAGAGACAGAAAGCGAGAAATCATCCCCCAGGGGGGATGGTCACGCTGCAATCCCTTCTCCTCCATTCTCCTCTCGGGATCTTGGGCACGCATGCACACACGCCTGGCGTTGAGTTTTAAGCCACCAGGTCTGGGACGCGAACCGCGGTCGACTACGTGGGAGTCCAGCCACATAGCCATTACGCTAACTGCTGGTTCCCAGTAAATTACTTTTTTTTAACTCCATTTTTTCCTTTTGTCCTCATAGATTTTTTCTATAATAAGTATTATTTAATCATCAGATAAAAGGGATTATGTTTTTCTATAATAAATATAGAGATTTGTCATGATAAGACAAATACCACTGTAAATCAAAACCTGCTGCACAGGATCATGCTAACTTCCTTTTTCCTGGCAAGGCATGGTTAGTTGATGAGTCAGTCCCTCAGATGTTCCATTTGAAAATCGGTAACAATATGAAACAACTAGAAATGTATGATGCACTACTCCAGTCTTATTCTGCTTAGTCATGCTAATGACTCACCCCTTCTCTTATTTTCTCGTGTGTTCTCCACTGCTCTTTCTCTTCCTATAATTTTACATACCACAAATATGTAACTTTCAACCATATACTGTATAGATACTTTGAAAGAATTTTTATAATGTTCCAAGTAATGTTTAGGGACACCAAAATGGCTTAATTTTACATTCCAACTTCTTAAAACATCAGGAAAGAGGTCTGTGTATCCAGAGTTACTCATAAGTTTACACGCTAAGGGATTTGTATTTACATATGTGTAGTCATGTCTATTATTTTTCTGATTTAAAAATTGTTACTTCTATACTAGAAAGCACAAAAAAAACACACTGTGACCACAATCTGGAACTATCTGCTTTTCTGCTTCATTTCTGCTTCTCAAAATAACTTATCAAAGTATTGATATAAAATGGCAAGGTGATTATATCAAAAAACCTGCTGGGAGGAAAGATACTGTTTTGAAGTGTCATGGAAGCAAATGGGGGCATGTGTGACATTTACTGTGCAAATCTATTAGCATTAATCTTCTCATCTGGAATGGCAAACGCAGTTTTGGCAAACGGCAGACAGCTGTAAATCTATTTCATTTTTACTTTGTGCTATGTACTACATTCATTTCTTCACTGTCATCAAGATACCATATTAAGGAATGCACAGGTTCTGCAGTCGGACCTATCTGGGTGCAAGTCCAAGGTCTGTCACTCCTTACTAATGTGACTTTTAATAGTTGACTTAATTTGTGTGAGTCTTATCTGTAAGCTGAAATGACAGTAGTATTTAATAATAAGAAAACATAATGTGCACAAAGCACTTAACCATACTTCAACCACACACTGTACATACACTTTGAAAGAATTTTTATAACATTCCAAGTAATTTTTAGGGGAATCCAGTGCTGAGTACACAGTAAGTAATAAATGTTAGTGTTCATTATTATTCTTTGTTGTGGTGTATTCTACTCTAAACTCTCAACTCCCAGTGTTCAGCTCCCAATCATGAAAAGAAAATTTCTTACATCCTCTAAAATTTTGAGATTTCCTTTGACCTAGGGCAAAGAGTTGGGGTGAGAAGAGTCTTGCACAAAATATTTTACAACGGGTAGAATATTAACATTCAGACAGCAGCTGGTCTGCAGGTGCTCTTATTAGTTTGGCCAAAGGGTCCAAGATTATCGATCTCAGTGACAGAACCCTACTGAATAGACGTTTCCATAGTGATAGACTCAGCAATCAGAGACCATGAAATCAACAATGTCCTCACAGATTTCTATTGGACTAATTTACTTTTAGTGGAAAATACTGTGATTCCTTGGAGATCTATGATGAAATCCCTTACGGGACATTGCTTGACAACCTTTGATTAAAAAGATGGGAGTAGCGAGACCCTTCTTAAAATTAAAGTTAAGAAAAACCATAATGTCTAACATTGGAGTACAAATAAGCTGCTACTTTTCAAATTTAACAGAAGGGTTTCTTTTTAAAATAAAATAGTTTGCAGAATTTAGTAGAACATCACACTACTGGCATTTTTATTTTCTATAAATAGAAAAATATTAGAAGAGGAAGAGCTCCTTAGGGGAGAAGGACTATTTAACTCTAGTAAAATATTCAAAATATTACATATGTAATTACCCTGATGCATCCACTCTTAACTTCTTGAAAGCAGTTTGTAGACTCTCCTCCTCTCCATCCTTGGCTTCAGATTTCATTGTGAAAGTTATTACCGTACTGTAGATGTTCCCGTTAATACTGAAAAAGAAAATAAGATGAGCAAAGTGAAAACGGGGGATTAAAAGTATACCTTTTATTGAAAATCTATATTCCTGTATCATTACTATAGAGAAGGAAAAAGTAATTTTTTATTTGTAAAAGGAAGTTTCAAGATTAGGAGAATATAGGTTTTATTTCTAAAGAAACAAATGAAATAATATAGAAAATATGCATCTATTACAACAGAATTTAAACTGTACAGATACTTGACAACATTCTACTACGTAGTTTTGGAAGCTACATTACCTAAAATCTATGTTTAGTATATTTTTAATGTGGGAGGGAATCTCTCCAGTCGCTAAAGTCTAGAAACCTATACACACATGACTTTCACATCAGAAGTAAAAAGGAAATGCTCAAACTATTAAACTCTGATTCGTTAAAATGCTGAGTATTCATCTAGTCTAACTCTAACAATTCCAGTTGAAAGTAACTTCATGATACATGACAGAATTTCTCAAAGCAATCCTGACTCAGATTTTCATATTCATGAAGACATGTTATACAAAACAAGCAGGATTAAAAACTTATTTCAATGATTATTGATTATTCCATACTCTGTGTATAAAAGCACTACCTTTTGTTTTTTGTTTCATAGCTTTCAATACTGTAAGTATTAAACAAAGCAAAAAAGAAAATAAATGAACTACACTTACAACTCGAAAAAGAACAGAATTTTTCTTTGGTCAAAGAAAGAGCAAGTCTATATATACACACACGTGTGTGCATATATGTTACTGTTCTGTAGGTTAACCTTTAAATGATTTCTTAATCAACTAGTTTGATTAGTCCACATTCCCCATTTTTTATGGCCTGATTTTTATATTTAAACAAAGAAAGGGGAACGAAAAACCAACTAAAACACAACAGAAAAATCTATTAATAAATTCCCGAATCTAGTCTCCTATTATTTTTTTCACTCAGGGTAATAAACTAGTATCAAATTCTGAACAAAAATAAGCAAACCAGTATCTATGATGACATATCACAGAGAATCAGAAGTAAAATAAAATGAGAAATAAAAGATAAAGTATTCTGGAAGAAAGGATTCACCTCACCTCTTTATTTCTACCTGTTACCCCCTACCCCATACCCCCACCCCCCATAGGCACTCTCAGAGAGAGCAGTGCCAGTCTAAGGACCCTTGGATCCTCTTTGAATTCCTATCTACTCATCTCTC